GTTCGCTGATTACGGGATAGCGCGATGTCGTCAATGGTCGTTGGTGCGGGAGGTCGGACGGGATTGTGCTGCTGCCAAACAGAAAACCGCGTGCTTGAAATTGTGCTCAGCGTAAGATCGGATTCTGTGCTCAGTGTATTGCTTGATTCAGAAGGAGCACTTGTCAAGTTGCCTGTGGACGATCCGGGCGAAGCTGCTGGTGGGTGCGGACCATCATGATAACCAGAGTTCCTAGCATATAACGCCTGGAAATCTCTCGCGAAAATGTGCTTCTCTCGAATATGAAGATTTAGCTCCCGGGTCGCCATAACTTTGTGACAGTGAAGGCATTCTATCGTAGGCACGAACCGTGTCACCGACATAATGAGATACTATCTTCCTTCTATATGGTCTGATTACGGGAGACTTTGTCGTCGAAGAAAGACGGATAAGTTTGATAGCCTAGTTTGAGCACCTTGAAATGCTTTATATGGTTGTGAAGGCAAGCTGAGGCTGCCTGAGCGTCAATGACTTACAATAAGCACACAGATCGCACAGCTGAAATTGGGATGGACTCGTGTCATAAGCTGTACCGCAGACAGCAAGCAGATAATACAAGCAAGACAATAATGCACAGGAACGGTCGAAGTATCGATGTTTGATCCTTAATTATGCACATACATGAGCGGTAGTTTCCGAGTGGCCCGGAAATTACCGAGCCACATAAGTTCGGGTCAAAGCAAATTTTTATTCTTCCAACCTCGCCGATTCCTTATCACTCTCCCGCTTATGCTCATGAGGAAGGGACATTATTCTTCGGCGTAGAAGGACTTCTGCAGCTTCACTTTCGCTAGCAGCGCTATGCCTTTTGTTTTGTACATCTGGCGATGATGGTCTTCTAGATAGTGGTGAAAGCTACAAAACTACAAAACCGAATCTATATACCCATTTCTATTACATCCATTGAATGTGGCCCAAGTCTTAAGGTAACCATTATTCATTCGTTGCGATCCTTATCATGTTAGCTGGACTTGCGGGTCATGCTTTCGAGGATTGCCTGCGAGAAACTCAGCTCATTTCGAACGCCAAACACGGGAGCCAGAACATACGCCGTGACGCTGAATTTGAGTGACGTGAAAATGATCGTCAATTTCACGACATTGCCAACAAGTTCGGACCATCCTCGCTCGTCGAGAATGACCATATCGTCATCCTCTTCGCCATGTTGTCGATAGAATCGACCATAAATCGTGACTTCGGGCTTGTACCGATACTCAGATATCCACCAGTCTTCCTTTGTGGCAAATCTGGTAATGAACATGTCTACTGCTTTCTGCAATTGTTTCAGATTATGGAAAGCAAAGTCTGGACAAGGGGGCGCTTGCCCTGTAGCTCATGGCTTGCAACGCTGCTCTTCCAAACGCACGTTTGTCATCTCTGCAAGTAACAATTATCTGCGGAGGAATGGACATTGCAGTAGCAACAAATTCATGTAGCGTGTGTAAAGCAGAGACAACATCGCCAGGCAGGGCTGTTGGGGCTTGGGAGGACTGTTGAACAGATTCCATCCGACTCATGGTGTCCGCAAACGAATAAAGAACGGCAGTACTGCGGCGCGGCCACAGCTTCACCACGCTGTGAATAAGATGGTTCGGAAGCGCCTGACCACCGTGAGTCTTTTCCTATCGAACTCTATACGTGCTTTGACTCTTTTCTCTAGAATTTCTAGGTGATATATGGTCAGCACCGTACGGATTCTACTACTAACGGTAGTCAGCCTCGAACCATCATGTGGCTGAGTAACAGTGCCTTTAGGAACAGTGCTCATGCGATATTTGTATATTCAGAACCGGAGTGTGTCCCGATCCTGGGCCAGATGAATTCATCATGATTGTTCGAAGTTTCCTAGTCTCCCCTATTAGACAGCCCGAAGGAAGATAGTCGTTCCTTCCAGGTCTGCTTTCCTTATCTAAAGTCCGACAGGCTATGAGTTCGGAACATACCGTTCAACGTTCAACAACGCCACCAATTCTGCCGAATAATGTGATTTCCTGATTTAGCCTGACTGCTGTCACCCCATGAATTGTGAATAGCACGACAGTGTGGTGCTGTTCTATTGACATGGAAACACCTAGAGTGGATTCAGAATGGTGTATTTTATATATGTTGAGGTCCCTAACATCATTGATAGGTTAGGTCGATCTTGATCGTAGTGTCCAAAAATCACTCGTTTTGGGTACACTTGCACAATGTTTCGAAAATCGGGAAGGCTCCGCAGCGTCGATTTTAAATATTTGATTCGGTAGGCTTATTGAAAATATGTTCTCCAGCTGTTCCGAATGAAATATATGTAGAGTTGTGAGCTCTGAAGTGCGTTGTGCATGTAATATAGTAGGTATCCCCGCTCCGCACGTCACCGACCACGACGAGTGCGCGCTGTCTGGGGTCAACGCCAAGCCTGCGTGCCCCGGGTGACATATTGCCAATTAGAGGCCCGACCGCCTTGAGAATTGACCGTATCGTTAGAATGTTTTCGACAAGTACACACTAGCTAGTACCACAGGTTCAACGTTGATCAGCTGGTAACGTGTAGACGTAGGCGCAAGCACTAGGCTGCGGCACCCATTTCGAATACTATTTTACATGAAACGAGGCTCTGAGATTAGCTGCGCAGTCAATGATCCCAAAGAAGACTTGGCTAGTATGGCAATCATGCACACGAGGTGGAGCTAGGTGGAGCCACAGCTCAAAAACGCTCATTAGCATTTCCCTTCTGTATACTCTCCAATTGCACCTTTTAAGTTATCCGCCATCCAATATGGCCAAGGTTCCTTCCCTGCTCTCCATCCGACCCCGATCCCTGTCCTCAAAAGTCTTTTTAATTGGTGCTATCGTCACCTTCGCGATCACACTATACACATTTTCTTCTTCATACTCTTTTCGCATATCAGACTGGTCTTCAATATTCTCACAGCAGCGACAGCGTAGTCCATGCGCTCCAGAACAGTGGTCGAACGGGCGTTGGGTATATAGCCCGACGTCTGATTTAGTGAATTTAACGCGTCCAGAACAGGCGCTTTCCTTGGCCGGCTTTGAGGGTTGTGCTGCAGATCGTGAATACCACTGGCATTTGGGCACAGACCACGAGGAACAATGGGATAGATTTCCCAAGGTCTCTTCATACAGATGGTTGCCTTCGAGCCAGTGTGACGTGCGCCCTCTCAATGGTGCAGCGATAGTCAAGGACATGGTGGAGAATGGAGGGTGGCTTTTACTGGGCGGTATGTCGGCTCTGTCCTTTGGTGTTCGGCTCTCATGCATTAGTTTCCTTCACCTTTAGACTCGATAACGGAAAACCATTTCTTTTCGCTGTCGTGTCTGTTATACCCGCACGTCCGTGCAACCCCAAATTACACAGAAAATCCCTACTTTGACCGTGCATGGCAGCAACATTTATACCTGTCGCCGTCGTCCCCCATAATACCCGGAATCACCATGCCGGAGGGCTTCTCAATCGAGAACACACCACTCGTTTCATTCCGACGTGTTGACCTGCTTCTTGACGGAACAGAATTAAACACATTATATCACAGTTCAGCATTTTCTGTTGAACCCACCGACTTGGACAACCAAGATCTCGGTTCTGAATACACCAAGGCAGAGTCCGTATTCGGCGATGAGGCATTTTGGTCGCTTTCCCCATCAGAATATATGCCCACATTCCTCGATTCACCTCCAGATGCTAACTATGGCACGCTGGTTGTGAGTACTGCCGGACACTGGACAACAACCGCATTCAGTGCATTCCGCGACGAGGACGCTGGAGAGGATGCAGGTTATGGCATCCATAATGTACTTGCGTTCTTCAAGGTTGCGATGCGGGCTTGGGCAAGTGAAGTGCAGGACGCCATCACACAATACCGTATAAATGGTGGCAGACGTCCAAAACAGGTAGTTGTCAGAGCGTATCTGCCTGGTCATGAGAATTGCCGTAACATCTTCGAGCCCACGGAGACAATCACCCCATGGGCCAATACGTGGTATAATTGGCCATGGATTCCGGACTTCAACACAAAATTCCAGGTCAGCACTTCGAGATGAATATGAGGTGTGGGGATGCTGACTTTCTCCTTCAAGGAACTGCTGTCATCATCTGAGTTCCCGGACATTCACTATCTTCCGATTGAGAGACCGGGACGGCTGCGCCCTGATGCTGTAAGCCAGTTCTAGTCTCACGCATAGTTCATGTCTCATAAGTAACTGTCCTACCAGCATGCCGCGGGAGATTGTTTGCATCTCATATCAGGTACTGGCGTTCTCGAGGGATGGTCGCACTACATCTGGCATTTTGTCACACGCGAACTCAGGCAGAAGATTTGATGTGACCCCTCACTACTAGACACTGATTTGGACGTAGCTTGGGCCCGGATACATAGAAAGATACCCTATTTGTAAGGAAAGAACACACCTACGTGTATTTATGGCGCCAGGTTGCACGGACTATACCTGCACCACCTCATACCAGCGTTGGATACAGATGTAGCATTCTGGATTTCGAGATGGATAACGATATATCCCTGGTCGTTCTGTTCTGTACCTTCAAGTTTGATGATTCCACGGGCTCGGCGCGGTTTGACACCGACATCTCGCGAGGCTACTTACATGATCTACTTAGGGCAAGCTTCATATTCAGAAGCCGCCGGCGCAACAAGGCATTTGCAAGTGATAATCGTACATGGAAGAAGGCGAGTAATAGTCACCTGTCCAACGACGAAGAAGAGCTTGTGCTTCGCGGCTGCCTCGTGTAAGTTTATATCGGTTCCGTATCGAAATATTGAAGTATCAAATTCGACATACCAGGATCCGTATCTCGGCAAGGCTCATAAGCTCGTTATAACTCTCTTGGAAACCCCTAAGGATATCATGGAACGCCTTAACACGTTGGTCCCCTGCGATTAATAATGCGGATCTACCCAATCACGTTGATTTGAAAACGGAGTCACGGAGTCATCCATCATGATAGTCACGTAGACCCGAGACCAAGCCAAGGGATGATCCCTTCGTGACCTTTATTTCAGAAGACCATGCGTATAATCACTGAAGCCCTTGACCATGGGATTTGAGTTCATGATCAAGAATAGTTGATGAAGGCTGTTGCTGCAATTGCATACATTGGCAAGGCATCATGTTGGCCTCCTGAAGTTCTCATAGCTCCCTGCTCTTCAGTCGGGTCTGAGATGGTAAACACGAGCCCTTTTCTTTCTTGTGAAGTCCTTACAGTTGAAAATCGTAGATGCCATCAACTTGCACACGTTCCCACTAGCGGTACTGATTGTGTTCTATATATTGCTATCTATATCATTCTAATCTGTCCACCAGTTATCTGATGCGTGCTCGCGTCAGAGCAGAAATCGACGTAGTGTGCAGACCCGACAGAATCCCAACTTTCTACGATAGGACTCCGTTGCCAGTTCAACGAGGGTATTTGTCGTGAAGCCCTGCTGCGAGTCGTGCGACAGATCTGAAGATCGAGAGAAGTATTTATGTGGCATGGGCAGTTGTACTAAGTGAGTTAGATCTCGAAAAATCTACAGCGGGGATCATTTGTGAGCGCGAACCGATGTACTTTTACAATGCTGTGAAGCAGTCAGCACATATTCATCTCGGCGGACTTAAAAGACTGAGGAACGGTTTAAAGGTAAATCTGAAGGCAAGGAATACAGATATTTATTGCAAAATATACTGTCTGATGACGTCACCTGGAGGGTGCACACCTAGTACTAAGGAGATCGACCAGTACTCCGAGTCACCCTGAACTGACAACTATTTGAGAGCATTTAGACCGCACAAATAAGTGGTTCAATCAACCTCGATCCTTCATAACAACACGTAAGTCGCTTCTTCCGAGACAACTGACCACTCTGCGGAGACGGGCAATGTTGGGGTTAAATGCTGTGAACGAGTTTTAATGGGGAATGATGGATCACGTCAGAGCAGTACAAAGGGACCCTTCAGTGGCACATTATAATATGCGTATGAACAAAGTATTATTGAAAAGGGTTATTATAAACAGCTGCAACGTACTCCACAGTATGTAACATGCTTCATCTTGCAAAATGTCGAGTTAGATTGCATGAAGGTGGGAATTACAGAACTGTGTTGCTTACCTGTAAGCCTGTGGCTTACTACGCATGACGCGCATGAGGTAGCTGTGTCTCTGAGTGGACACCACCGGTTGTTGTTCTGTGTTTGGACTCAACTAGTATAAAGAGCTCATTGCCCCTGTACTTGTTTCTTAGCTCTTACCACCACTGCCGAATCCCATATGCTCTTCCATGTTATCTGTGTTGACTGTTCCAAGTGTTGGCTGTCTACTGTGATAGCCTTTCCATTACCTCAGAGTAGGTATATAAACTTGAACCCAAGTATAACAGAGTGCTAATCCTCAGTTAGATTGATGACCACATGTTCCAACTTAACGTGTGAGGGTTCCAACTTAACATGTGAGGGCTTCTGGTCTCCACATGAGGATGAGCCAGTGGCTTTAATGGCACGCAAATGCTGGAGTTCCAACTTCAAGAAAATTAGTTGAAAGAAAGAACACCACCAAAGCCAAAAGTCACCTCTAATTTTCTGATGCATATGTCCATTGACTGATTGACTGGGATTGGCGAATTTGACATCTGTGGTACTATATTCATTGCCTGCAGGTTGTCTGGGATTGGGGATTGGTGTGAGTTGGGAACACACATAGAAAGTTCACCATGACCCACCCAAAGAAGTATAGTTGAATATGAAGACAGTCACAGGATGGTCATCAAAATCACTTTTGTACATTATCTGTTCTTCTTGATCTGGTGCTTCTTTCCTGAAACTTAACTAAATGTCAATTATAGAAAGTGAGGCATGCAACGAAATAATACATACCTGACCTGATGAGAGCAACCTTTCTTTGAGCATTCATGTATCTTATCTTCATGCACACGAAGATTGTGCCCACTTGACCCAGCCAACTTCCTGGCCTTGGTGAACATCCCTCTGTGCAACTTCATCACAATTTGACCAATGTCACCAGAATAATCATTGAGCACTGAGTCATCATCTGAAGTACAGTGTTAGAGGCAAACTCTGTACATTAGTTTACATGCTGACCGGTAAAGTCAATGTTTATGAACATTAATTCTCTGCTCATTGTTCCATCAGAAATGCAGTTGTATTCCAACGTACCCATCCAGGGTGGGAGCACAACCCATGGAGGACATTCATGACCATCCACAAAGGCAAATGACTTGATACCTGGGTACTGTGGCTCTGAAACCTCCCCCCTGATTTCGAATTTCTTAGGGGGGCATGTAAGTTTTCATTGGGACATAAGTATGATGAATACTATACCTTACCTGCCTCCGAGGGGATCCAACAAGTCATTACATTCTCTTCCTCCGTTCTGGACTCAACTATTTTATATTCCAGTAGTGGCTTGTTGTTGATGAATACCAAAGTGGAAAATTGACCCAAAATCATGATGTATAGTGGTTAGTTATTTAAAAACCATGTGAGTGCAAATGATGTAGACTGCTAGTAGGATGTATATAGGGACTGCACAAAGGCTACTTATACTGTGAACACTAAGGGTCCTCG